GAGAGAGAGAGAGAGAGAGAGAGAGAGAGAGAGAGAGAGAGAGAGAGAGAGAGAGAGAGAGAGAGAGAGGAAAGGGCTGGCTGGTCGTGGTGTTTTGAGGGTGTATTTCTGACAGCCTTGTGCCCGCCGTTGTGCATAATTGCGCATGTCATTGTTTTCATCGTCGTCATATGTCCGCTTTTCGAAGAACAAAAGATTGGGAGATGGGAGGTTCTTTGTATAACGGTTTGATTTTTGGAGTCCTCTTTTTTTTCCCCATCCGTTTCTGCGAATGGAATGTTTCCCCATCACTATTGAATACCCCCTGACCTTCGTATGATGCTTGCTGGATTCCATGTGACACGACTCCCTTCATGTCTGGCGAACTGCTGCAAACTTTGCATCATTCGTTGGTTGATAACATCGGCAAAAGGCAGAGAGCTCACCTCACACGAAAGTGAAGACTACGAACCTGAAACGATGGCAAACATGGGAGTACTGTCCAAAGAAGAAACGAACAAAGAAAAATTTGCTGTCCACACAAACGACAACAAAAAGCAACGAACACAAAAAAGAACTGCAAATTACAATGCAATGCAATCATCAACGAAGATTGTCACACCCCAAGATCGTCCTGCTACAAACAGGCAAAACGACGGCGTCACAGCCACGGACTTGGAGTCGGGGGCCCATACACTCTTGCATGATGGGTTACATGACGAGCAAGTCTTGTCCTGATGGCCTTCGATGCCTCCAAGTCATACGCTTCCGCTATGTGATCCGACATGGCGTTCCCTTCATACTTTGGTGGCTGGGCTGGAGGAGGGTGTGGACGCTCATCATTGGAGTCACCATCGGAATCATCATTGTCGGCACCAGCCAAACCGTTGATGTCCACCTCGTAATCCAACAAAATGTTGTAGAGCATACAACATGCCATGAACTCCTTAAATATTGTCTTCAGATTGCCAATGTGCCGACGCCCGAAAATCCTCCAAATCCGTTTCGGAAGCCCGAATGTGCGTTCTATACAGCTCCTTGTGTGCATGCTATCGAACACCACCTGTTCAGGAGTCCGAGGTCTGTTGGCAGGATGCGGCGTCATGATCCAAGACAACAACAAATAACTGGCATCACCCAACAGGTACCGATCAATGCTGCTCCCATCACGAAGTGTGGCAGGCTCGCGATGTAGAATACCCACCCCTTTGTCGTAGTCGCTAGTGAGTGTCGAAAGTTTGATGGCTCGAATGTCATGGCATGATCCGGGACAGCCCACATACACATCCAGGATGCGGCACTCATGATTGCACACGACCTGCGCAATGACAGAGAACTGCCCTGTTCGGTTGTAGTAGCATGCAGCAGGCTCATTCGTGGGCTTCTCTATGTACAGATGTGTGCAGTCGATTGCACCCACACAGCCGGGGAAACCCTTTCGTTCAAAGGCGTCCATGACCACTTGTAGGTGACGCCCCTCCCGAAAAGCCAAGAAGTTCCCATACTCCCTGATGATCGCCTCAGCGACATCGTTGTTGCTCCACAGGGTGCTTGCGAGTCCCATACCCAGACCATGACCTGACTGTCTGTAAAACCCTCCCGTTGCACACCTTATCAACGCACAAGCAAATGTTTGCTCTGCGGACAATGGCTGTTTCCAATTCGTCGTAGCTCGCTGGATATGAGGTCCAATCCGCTGCAGAATGTCGTTGAAAACAGGACACGGTAGCCTGCAAAATCTCCTGAACACCTTCTCATGTTGTTCCCCCTGGCGCTGCAGGTCCTTCCACACAACGCTGCTCCTTTCTAGCACCCACACTCTCCCCCTGCCCCACACGCAGTCCTCGACACCAGTCGACAGGGCGGACAACATGGAAAGGCTTTGGCAAACGCCGCCGCCTAGTATCGGCATAGACATCGCCAATTCGTTGTCTCACAGTGGCAAAAGAGACGCAGCCTCAAGGACGGTCATGGCTGCCACATTACGGCGACTCACCCACTGCATGGCGGCCACCATGAAAAGCACGAGCCGATCTTCCCACTGCCCGTCCATGACTCCGCTCGGCAGGTCACCCGGCCCTCCCAATCTTGTCTCTACACCCCCCAATACACTTCTCCTTTGTTCTCGACGTTTCAGAGATGACACAGCAGACGGTGCCACGAACCGCCAACGGCAAATCGCACCTTCGGTCACAGCACTGCGGCACAACAAAGCAGGCATTTGAAAAATGTGGCCGTTGCACCATCCTTCCTTCCTCGTACGCAGTTGTGCGTTTGTGCGTGAGTTCCCCCCCCCCCCCCCCCCCCCCCCCCCCCCCCCCACTGTTGGGACATCCCACTGTCACCCACCCCCTTGCACGTTGGTGCACAAGGAACGGGCCACACGCCTATGCGCCTGGACCCAGGAACACAAAGGCCCAATGGATGAGAATCATGAGATAAGGAGAGCTTACGACCGGTCACTGACAGATGGTTCCACACCATCAGAGCGAAGTCAACCAAAGCTTCCTCGCTACAATGGCAGATGGGCCACCGATGCCTGCTGACCAACGACTGGCTAATGGACAGAACTTCACTGGAACAGCGTGGGGTGGCCATGCCATGGTGTAAGTTCTGCAACACCGCATTCCAGCCTCGGAGAATTCCTGAAACAATCGAACATATATTTCTGCAGTGTCCCGGGGCAGTCTGGCTCTAGAGATGGTGGGACCGAATTTGGAACCAGCTGGGAACATCCCATCCATGGCCATGGGACTGGCAGGCCCTGCTCTGCGAAACTAGGCTCTGTGACGTCCAGTGATTTCACCCAGAACCTATTCAAAGCAGGGAGGAGAGCGGTTTTCTGGGCCCCCTGGAGTTGACAACGCGCCCACGAAATGGAAGGAGTGAGATTGGATGACCCTGATTTCACCGACTCCATCAAACAACAGATACAGAGTGATATCACAATGCAGTTATGTGTGGGTGTGTGGACGAGTGTGTGCGGGTAAATATGTGCGTGGGTTTGTGGGCGTGGGTGTATGTATGAGTGTGTATGTGTGTGTAGGGGTGAGATCATTTAGTTTTGCTGATTATCCAATTATCTCCTCATGGGGGGGAGGGATGGCCTTAATGCCATGGCGCCTGGTGCCCCCCAGGCCCATGGCGTTGGCCCCCCTCCCAGCCACCTCCGCCCCTGCTCAGTTAATCCTTTTTTTTTTTTTTTTTTACAAAAAAACAAAGCTCCATCTATTGGTGGGGAGCAACACCTGCTGGAAACCAGGTCCAGCGTCCCATAGATACAAATATTTCCTCACAAATTGGCACGAACTGGGAACCGGGCCCGGCGTCCCATAACAAGTACCTTCAGAAAACTTATCAGAAAATTTCATGAAACTGAGACTAGGAACCTACAAGAAAAATCCAATTAACCTAAGAAATCTGAAGGAAGTAGGAAAAAAATAGAACTACACTCCCATTCTCTCCACAAACACAGCGGGGAAAGGAGAATACAGTATCTCTCCGCTTGTGAAGAGAGTTAGCGTTGCCCTCGTTCTTACCAAAATCCCTCGCCCCCCTATCCTTGAGTTGCCCCCGTCGAGAGGAGCCCCCTTCTCCTCAATGACCCCAACTCAGGACAAGCACCAACAGGCCACCGCTCCCTAAGAAACAAAGCAGTTCCCACCAAAAGTCTGTCCCTTCAGACCAGCGGTCCCCCAACCCCTCTTCCAACCTTCTCCCTGTTGGAAAAGACCCTCGAGGACAACCCTAACTCGGTAACCTGAGATCCAAATTTGCCCTATCTTCGAATCCTAAAAACCTTCCCTCTTGTCCATGAGCTGCCTCCGTCAAGGGGCGACCCATTCCCCTTATTGACCCCAGCTCAGGACAAACCCCCTAGCGAACCACCACTCCCTCAAGAACAAGCAGTTCCCTCCAAAAGCCGGTCCTCGCAGAATAGTGGTTCCCCCAGCCTCCATCCCAACCCTTCTCCAAATGGGACGGTCCCCTGAGGACAAACCTGAAAACCCGCCTCCTGTTACCAAACGAGAATTTGAAATCATCTACTCCCCTACTAGCTCATTGTAAACCGGAAAACGAGATCGAAAGAAGAGATTAGGAATAGGAGAAACTGCTCAACACGTAAAATAGGAATCAAAAGAAGATGAAGTCATGAAATTAGCATCTACTTTAGGAAATCAGTCGAAGATACAAATTGAAATATCATGAAGTTCCAAGTAGGAAGTTGATTTTGATTTAATTTTGATGTCCTCACGGACTCTCGATGCTGATTTCCAGAACCTGGGTTCAACAAATCGCTCAGGCCGTAATTCAGAAATGACTAAAAGGAAACAACAACCGACAAACCATTAAGGGCAGAAATTGC